TTCGTGTCAATAAAAGAATAAACAAATGGATTGTAAAACTTAATTGCACACCCATAAAGAGATAAGGCAGGTCAACAAGGTCATAAGCCATAAACCATCCCTGTTCTCCCAAAATTGAATTATGGTAGACTTAAGTTGAGTCAATAATCTTTTTAGGTGCCGTGTTGTCCAAGAATGTAAGAATTATAGGGAAACTATCACTGTTATAGAAATAACAACTTAGCTTTAGTTGTGAAAATAAAAATATATTAAATTCTTAACCTAGTATTGTGAAATGTATATGTATATAATGTAATTTATATACATGAAATAGCTAGAATAAATGTTAGTCGAATGGTGTATCGGGCATGCAGAGATTCTGGAGCGAAGACTCCACTCTGTGTCCAGCATGCTGTTTGCTTTTTCCATACAGTAAATTCTTATTAGAAAACCTATCATAACTCGAGACATTGTTTCTTGTTGCAGTATATAAAAGAATGCAGAAGTTTGTAATGTTGTTAAAGTGAACATGCTTCCAAAATGGTGATTGTAACTCTTTGTGTAAACCTTTCTCCTTCCCAAGATCCCTCACTGTAACTTGGAATGTCATGAGAAATACCTGAAAGTCTCCCTATTGGTTGTTAACCCTTTCTTGTAATTGGTTGGTTTGTAAGACCTCCTGGACTCCCACTGGTTACATTGTGATTCCCCCAAGAGCTATTTAAACAGGGACCAGAACAATAAATCTCTCTCTGTGTCTGCTCACCCTGCCAGCAATTCGTCTCCTGTGCTCTCTGCCAGGGCAGTGGAGACCGCATGGTGGGGGGGAGGGGGAGGACACGCTCCCCCCGGAGCAAGGGGTAAAAGGAAAGGCCTCTTGCCTGGGGTTTCCCCTCTCTGTCCCCCTTCAACTTTCGTCAGTTTCTCACAGCACCAAGATTAAATTATTTTAAGGAACGAGATGTCTGAGACTGCTATGGGAATCCTCTGTGTGAGTGTGGTGTGTGTAGGGAGTCCAGCAGGGCAGCAATCAGATCACTGGACCCACCTGCTGCTAAGTGGCTTCGGTTGCAGCTCAGCTGGCTTTCAGAACAGCTACTCCTCTGCAAGGAGAAACCAAGATTCATTGTCTCCTTGCAAATAAAAAGACATTCGCTCAGACTTCTAATTTAGTGCAAATTCACAGACAAGTAGGAGCAGCAAACAATGGTTTAGATTATTTTAACTATATGATAGGAATCAGATGAATAAGTTAAGCTTCTGAGTGACATTTTTTAAAATGAAAATAAATTATCATCACTTTTTATCTATTAAGTCCAGAAATGCTCACCTACTTTATTTATCTACCTGGAGTGTTTTCTGGTTTCATAACAAGTTCCTTCTGGTATGTGAGCATTCATGATTGGTTATATTTTTAAATAACTTTTGTTTTCCCAAGTATTTAAAATTAATATAAAATGTATTGGTTTGTATCTTAGAAATGTTAAACTATGCTTAGATTCAAAAAACCTCTTAATTTAGTAAGAATATTTTATTATATTATCCATGCAAAAAAATTTGTACTCACAAAAAATCTCAGAAATATAAATTTTGAAAAAAGTTTTTAGGTTTAGGATAGAAATTGTGTGTCACAGTAGGCTCTTATCTACAAAGGAGTGCTTGTCATGGGCTATCAGTATATTTCTTTCTCAAAAGGACCAGTCCAACACCTGAAGCCTTAAACAAGGGCTACGATATAATGGTCACCAAATCAATTTGTGCTCTCTGTGACAGAAATAGCAAACAGGAAGTGATGCTGAACTGATGCCTGCCTGACATACGTGCCAGTGTACACTGTATGTTTGCACAGGTTTGTTTTCCAAGGGCTAGCAATGAGTAGGAGGATCAGGATCATTTTTTTATCAGTTTTTAGACTTATAATCTTGACAACATCCTTTTGGAGATGGATATAGCTCTCTTCTCATACGTAGCTACTGCAGCACAAATGGATCTGGTACTGCGAGCTAACTCATGTGTGCGTGTACTTGAGTGAGGCACCCATCACCTCCTATCAGGGTCCCCAGCAAAACGAAAAAGAAAAAGCAGTGTTACTGGGGTTTTTTTTACAGAAGACAGGATAAACAGAATGTGAGTTATGCAGGAGAACCCATAATCCTCTATGCAGAAAAAAAGTGAGGTTAGTGATGTTTTAAACACTGAGTGTTTATCTTGTTTAGCTCTTGGACTTTCTGTTCAGAATGATGAAACTTCAACAATCAGCCTAGATAATGGAAGCAGAAGTGTCTTCAAATCAGACTTTTCAAGAAAAAGAAGGATGGATTTGGCACGCACATCCCACTGAAAAGATGTAATCTGAAATCCTACTTTGTAGCCCTGATGAGTTACTCAACTGGACCTCAGAGTCTGGTTCCCCATGCCATGCTTCGGCCTCTGGTTTTCTTGCTGCTGACTTGGGAGTTCTCATTTGTGCCATATTCCTGAAATAAGTGCAACAAGCCTAGAGATATCCTGTCAGAGTCATCTGTCTATATTCTTCCTGAAGTCTGCCTGGAGAGCAGAATGCTCATTAAACAATTTTTCACGCACGGATTATATTTTTCTTATTTTTCTTTTCTTTTACAATTGCCTTCTGAAAAAGAGATGGGTTTGAGAGTTAGTGCAACTAGTGTCTAATATGAGTAAGTCAATCGGAAAGTAAAGATTTTTTTTAAATGCAGATTATTGATTTTTGAAATTGTAGGGGCTTCTTCAAAGTCATTGGGGTTTGTCATGTCAATATGTTAGGAAGGACTTCTAAAAATGAAGATTAATGATGCTAGGGATAATTCACGCTGAAGAAACTCACACATTTCTCAGTATTTGGAGAATATTGGTGAACACAGTCAAGTTCTCCTTGAATGTACCTTAGCTCTGTTTCTGCCATGAGAGTAGGGGGAAGATTTTCTATAACATGACAGAAAGTTAAACGTCCAGTATCTTTGGAAATCAGTGGTATTTGAGCTACATAGTTCTGATTTGTGCTTTTTAAAAAATTCCCCATATACAGTGAGTGTAGCCGATTTACTAAATCCACAAGCCCAAATATTTGGCTCAAAAAATCTGAATATTCTTTCTTTCCAAAAGAAACCGAACATGTTCAATAGTTGCTTTTCAAAATTAAACATGCAAGTCATGCTTCTTACTATTATTTTTTCCTTCAAGGTTTGTTCATATATTTTGTTAAAAGCATGAAAAATTACAAATTAAAGAAAAAGAAGCTTTTTGTTAACTTGCAGGAATGTTAAGAAGTCCCTATAGCTAATAATCTGATTTTGCAAGGGGGCTCAGGCACATATCTATTTTTTTATCCAAAAAGATCAAGTTAAATACTTCTTAAGTTATTTCTGTTCTAAAGCCGAGGCTTAAATGCTAATTACTGTCCAGATAATTAATCATATAGTTCTGCTGGGGTTTCCCTCACACAGAAAATCTAAAATTGGTGGTGGATCATTCTGTTCTCAATTATGAAGCACTAATTCCTCAAATAGTCCTTAGGATCGTAATTTGTTTCTGTGAAATACTTGGTGATAGGTTTTACTCATCAGTTTTTCAAAAAGAGTCACAAGAATACCTTGGAAAAGTTTGAATTTAATTGAAGTAAACACAGCTTGACCAGTCCTTGTGTATGAAACCAAAATTGTCTGTATATGGGCTTTTTGATTTTAAAAGAAAGATAATCAAAGACAAAGAATTCAAAATTCAGGCTAGGATATCTTGCCTCTTTTCCAACAGGCAACTAAACTGGGAAGCCACAGCACAAATCCATATTCCAATTTGGAGGGGAAACAAAGGCTGAGCAAAGGGATATCCATCTTGGATATCAGCAGGACCACATCAGAATCTGTTTTGTCTGTAGCCAAATTACAACTTGCACAAGACTTTGCAGAAAGTGTCTCTGCAACCTAAAGTCCTTAATCATTGAGGTATTTTGAAGAAAGATGTCCTCACACAACAGAAAAATATCCAGGAGCTTGATACATAAAAAATACCTGCTCATGAAATCCTATAATCAGAGTGAACATTATAAAATGTACACAAACACAGAGAAATTCACTGACTCATGTTTTTGGAATTCTTTTCCTGGATTTAACTCCTTAGGTCTTGGTACTGTTCATGTCCCATCCTTACTTTAGCCAAGTTATTACAGTTTATTCCGACCTTGTATAAGCAGATAAACAGACACTATATGATGATGAGAAATGGAGTTCAAAACCATATTATACTGCAGATCACATTTCAAGTTATATTAGCCTGTAAGAAGACATTAGTATGTGAATTCGGAGAGCTCACTCCTTGCATAGGATTTACAGAAACACACACATGCAAAAAGAGACCTTTTTACAAGCTTCTATAAACCATCACATCTTATGCTGGTGTGTATACATATTACGGGCTGGAATGACCAAGAGGAAAGAAATCTCACATTGTCACAGGCTACCAAAGTTCCTGGTTCAGTGTTAGGAGTGAAGCATAGAAGTCAGACAACACTGCAAAGCAGTGGTCTTTTTTTGGTGATGAAACCATCACATTCAGCACTCATTATCCATGAAGTTAGCCTTGACATATAACTGCACACAGTTGCATCACAAATGTTACTAAAAATTGTTTCTTTCTAGGGTTCATTCCAGGAATTCATTTGCAGCACACATATCTGCTAGCTAATTTTATGAGATAAGCAGTATTCATTATTGTTTTTTTTTTACTTTACCACCCTTTTTTTAGCATATTTTCAACTGTACCATCATTACAAAATTACCTAAAGTCAGAGAACACTGAAAATGGCAGCGAGGTACTTCAATTCTCAATAAATTAATAAAAGTCTATCTACTGAAAGCTCTCATTCATTGCTATTGATTAGTGAACCAATATCAGAAGACACAAACATATGTAAGTGAAAAAGGTCACAATGACCGGACACTTCTGAATTTGTTGACAGAGTCCACAGATACAGGAGCGTAATAGAACAGAAAATAATTTCTTACCTTTATGATGATTTGCCCCAGACGCTAATTTCCCCCACAGCGTTACAACAAATATTATTATTAGCAGTTTTCCTTTTGTTGCTTTCTGTAAGTATCTCTTATTCATCCTGAAAACAAACATACACAAAAATAAATATTATCTTAAGATTTTTTTAAAAGACAATTTTGGCTTAATTCAGGGAGAACTCACTAAGTTTTTATAAGTGTCTGGCTGGCAACCCTCAAGTCTTAAATTCTGTTTAGCTCTAAATGAGGTACACCAAATAGAGCAGCAGTATAACTTCCCTCACTGGTCTGCCAGCATTCCTCCACCCTGATCAGTACCAGGCAAATTCAACATCATCATCATCTTTTCTTGCAAGGCACAAGCATTGTTCATAACCACAGTGGACTCCAAGGCTGGCAGTAAGGATGAATGCATGCAGCTATGAGCAGGTTTTGATAAACAGAGCAGTTTCACTACTGTGTCTGGGGCCAGTCATGGTCAGTGTGGTTCTTTCTGACCACACCGTGGTCTTTTTAGCTTTTGGGATTGCAGGTCTTTTTGACTTGTGCCCACAAGTAATAAGGCACTAACAGATTTGATTAGACCTCTAGCACATGTACCAATCCTCCCAGACAAATCCTGTTAGGAAGACATGAGTGGTTTGGAAACATGAACTCAAGCAGGGCAGATTCACTGGTCTCTCTCCTGTCTACCTTTGGGTAATGAAAGATTTACTGCACCAAGAGAAACTGCACACAACTCCCCTCATCTTGCTCAATGATGTTTTCACTGTGACAGCAAGCCAACATGGTGGTTTAAGCACAAGATAACACGACTTTACTATCTTTCAGTAACTTCCTCCAAAGTCAAAATTCCCTCCCACCTGCCGAAAAGACAAGTTCAGGAATGTAGGCTCCAGTGCTTAAAGATTACAGCTGAGTAGAGAGTGGCAAGAGGTATAATAATGAATCCCTCTCACTTCATTCTCTGTAGAAGAACCCTAGGGAGCTGGCTAAGAAACAGCTCTGCACAATGATCATGTTTCTGCTGATAGCTCAACAGGACAATGATGCCTATTTCAAACCACTTATACTAGAAAAGCTGCAAATTTGATCACTTGAACAAAATTGTTGCTGTGGAACTAGGTTGCCTTTCTGAGCAGAAAAAATGCATTGCTTCAGTATGGTTGCGCATTTGTTTCCTATCACATTCATAAGAAACCTAAAGGAATTTAAGCGCATCTCTTTTGCTCTGTTCATGAACAATGCTGTCTTGGGCAACCACAACTCTGTGAAATGCAGACCGCTCTAACACAGAATTAACCAGTAGTGTGTTCAAAGTCCCAAATCATTTTCCATTACTTTAAAACAATTCCTTTCCTCTGAACAAATTTCTTTCTAATAGAACAGCATGTGCTGATAAGGCAATACACATGCCACAACTCCAATCATGATTTTCAGGCTTGAAACCAGACCACTTCCCCCAAATCTGCTAATCTTGCTCTCCAGGAGATTGATGAGATCTTGTTAAGCACCTCTAAGTTTCCACAGGCTCTGTGCAAGAAAACACAATTGCTCGAATTAAGAACCCACTGAAAAGTGCACCAAACCCTTTTAAACCTGAATTCAAAGCAACAAAGAACTCAGCATCCTTTGATAGAAGTAACACATCTACAGTGTGTTTCCCAGATGTTCAGATAGTAAAGAGAGAGGAGTAAGCAAGTACTGTAGTAGGATGGTGCATGTGCCTCTGAAAGCCTGAATGATTAAGAACCACAGGGGAAGTCATAGTGTGCTGTGAACCACACCAAGCTCTGCCTTCTTGCACTGATTCCAGTGACTTTGGAGTGTAAACTCCATATTCATCATCAGCTCCAAGTTTATGAAACACTCAAAGCTAAAGGGAAATACATTATTTTGCACTGTAAATAAGAACAAAAAAAAAAAAAAAAGAAATTGGAATGCATATTCAGCATATGCTCTTTCACAGCTATCTTTGTGAAAAGAATATGAATTAACTCTTTCACTCTGGATTCTCATACTGCACCTGTTATGCTGCTGGTTCCAAGTCATCTCTCATTAAAATCAAATCTTTCTTCCTCACCTACATAGCACTGCTCAAAACCCAGTGGGATTTGCACCATTAAAGCAAGGTTGACTCTAATACAGTTTCTTCCTCTATTCTGCTGATGCCAGATTCACTCATTGTGCTGTGAGACTGGCAGCAAATGCACATCAGAAAATGCAAAATGCATAAGGAAAAATAGGAGCAACAAGGGAAAGAGAGAAAACCAACCTATCTGCCTGTGAACAGCAGCCCCTCAGGATGGATGGCAGAGAGAAGATAGAAACCTCTGTACACAGCACAGCACATCCAAGAGGAGTAAGCCAATACTGAGTGAGAATAAATTGTTTTCTGCAAAGTAAGGGAAGGGTTTCAGCTTTAATTAGAAAATCTGGACTCAATGTCATGGCCAGGTTTTCCAATCATGATAAAAACAACACATCATTTTTGTACCACAAGCCTATTACATTATTCTGCACTAGTTATTTTTGGTGTTTACCTTTAGAAGGACAAAAATCTGAACTTTTTCAAATAGTAGTCCCATAACAGGCATAATTAACAGAAAAGTCAGTGCAAGTAGCAGTTCTAGCTTGAGACTAATGGTTCAGAGGCCACCAGCAGGAGAAAAAAAACCAACTTAGGAGATAAAGCATTCATAACATCCTCAAATAGAAAAAGTTGGAAGATTATGATAAGCTTCAAACTAATTATGCTGCCTAGACCTAGACCTGTGGTTGTGTGCATTATCTGCTCACGATGGTCAATCCAAGGACAGATGAGAGGCTGCATAAGCACAAACAAGGTATGAAGCACCCTGTTCCCAGCAGTCCTGCTACATACAGGGGCCACACTGTAGCAATACAGCCCTAGAAATAAAAAATGAAGGGTTTGTACTACAAGAAGCTGAGTGGTTGGTATGCATGCACTTCATCAGCAAAGCAGGTCAACAGCTAATAATGAAGGAGAGGTCATAAGATATGCTCAGTATCTGAGTGCATGCATTATCACCTGGGCTCAGAAACTCTGATGCTGATTACTTTTTGTGCATTTGCAAAACAGTCCATATATATATATAGCACTGAAAAGACACTGGAACTAGATATCATTTGACCTCAGCTCTGAATCATAACTATTGGCCTCTTGCAACCCTGATCCATGTCAAGCAAGTGCATCCAGGAAATAAAATTGAGTCCATTCCAGTACTGTTATTACGCTAACATAACTGGCTGTGTTAGAATAAATGAGCTCTAAAATGAGGTCCACTGTTGCTAAAGTGATGTAGAGCTCCACAGACAAACTGTAACTATTAATCTGAGTGGTTTTCTCTTTGAGATATTTTTGTCTTCTGTTTACCTTTGTTTCTGCAGAACCTCTCCCTCGCTATGATCCATACAGCCTTCGATAATGCCACATACGCCAAAGCTGATCAAAACAGAGAACAGCCATGCTATAGAAACACCTACATTTAAAAATCCATTTTACACAAAAATACAAACTTTATGTGCAACAAAAATTTCCTTCCGTTTCAAACCGCAGCATATTGGAAAGAAACCCAAGGAATTCTCAGCACTTTCATACAGAAGAGGACATGAAAGGTTGCTATGTTTGAGATCAATTTTCAATGTGCTTTGAGGCAAGGAAAAAAGAAAGATAGCTCCTTTTCTGGTTCAGGGACCCATTCAAAATATAACAAAAAGATGTCACCCACATAATTCAAACAGGCAGTGGCTGTGTGAAATGGCTCTGTTGTGCCCAGCTCTTCACTAACACTATAACAAAAGGAATAAATTCACAGGATTTGTTGCTTTTCCTCCCTAAGATTCCTTTTCCCCAAAGCACACTTCATGAGACCATCACCAATCTGGTATCATGTACTCAAGAATAGACTGTGTTGGTGATTAGTGACAAAACACTGCAGGAGTTTTTGTCTCAGGGTGAAACCACAACTGATCCTGCAGAGAAGGTTCACAAGCTGCCATGTCAGCAGAAATCCTTTGCCCCGGCCTCTGTGGCTCAAGAGCAGCAAACTGTGAATATACTCACAGGATGCACAGGTTCTCCTTGTCACTACTCCACCTCACTCTCAGCTCCCTCTCAACAGCAGATGTGATCCAACCATTGGGCTATACTGAAAATACCATACACAGATGTGTATTTTCAATGTAGCATCTGCAAGCTTTTGAGTTTCTACTTTCTTCCTTCTTTGTTTCTGGGCTTGAAATCAGCCACCTTTCCAACAGTTCAGAATTAGAGGAGAATCACATGGGAACTACCTTACATTGTATGGTCAGTGCTAAATTGCCTTGCTTTCTGATTTTAGGTGAAATGCAAACACATGCAATCTTTATTGTTGAGGAGAAAAAAACCTGTAAGGAAATATTAGCTTTCATTCTTCCTTTAAAAGATTATATACAAATAAAATTCTCATCTGTTTCCTAGGAGTAACTCCATTTTTCTCTGTTGCTCCTTATCTTTCTTTTCTTTACAAACATGAGCTTCTGTGAAGCTGTTCAAAATTCATTCTTTCCTGCTTTACATATGTGGAAACTTTCACTGTCAGTAAGATCAATTTTCCTTTTGCAAACACATACATCCTGTGAATGCAAATGTTCATAAAGAGACATAGAAGCCTATTTCCTATTGAATCATGACAAAATGCTTGAGACAAAAACCTGATGATAGAAAATTAGTCCCACATCCTCTTATTTTCTTTTTATGACAAATACTTTATTTGCTACTTCAGAGAAAGCCTAAATGAGTAGTAGAAATCACTTGAGACCCCAAGTCTCTTGTATAGAAATAATGCAGCCAGTTAAATTATGTTCTGCACTGTGTTGAATCTTACATTAGTTATTAGTGTGTTAGTTTCTACATCCCACGCAATGCAGGTATTTCCAGTTTTATTTAGCCTTTTCTATGTAGGCTAGTGCACATTTAAAAATGCCCCTCTGATGAATAAGGTCACTTTGTAAAAGTAACACCAACGTGACCCCTGTGCATTTGCATATATATAAATTCCCTCTGTGATATTCCTGTCATGTTTGCTCAGTGAACAAGTAATTTGCCACTCTCATTACTTCAGATGCAAGGTAGCTTGTGAAAATCAATCTCCTTTCTGCTTCATACATCACAGCCTGTAACAGACACAAAAACAAGTTCACTCTTTGAAGCTGAGGGACAAACATGGACCTGTTCTCACAAGCTACTTTCTTTGATCAAGGTTGGCAAGGAAAAGAAAGACAATAGGCATTTAGCCTAGCAAAGCATGTCAGCCTCAGGTAGGAGACACACAGGAAATCTCTGCATGCAAAGCAAAAGGTGTCAGTTTTGTTGGTTTCAGTTTTTTTGTTGTTGGTTGGTTGGTTTTTTTTCAAAAATTGTTGTTTTCTAGTGTGGATCATTCAATAGTCAGAATAAGTAGCCATAGAGAACTTAGTCCCACTATTGAGAAATATTCAGAAACAGTTAAAGCAACGTAGGCAGACCAGTACAGTAAATATTGCCACTGTTCCTTTCAGCTGAAGTTTAACAGTAGAAGCAGATTGAAGAATTTTAGGCTTTAATGCCATAAAGAGGGCTTTTGAAAGGCTACTGTGCTAAGACTTAAGACACTGAGGCAAATGAAATCTTCTTGCCAAAAGTATTTAAGCATATGATTGATATGCATGCCCACGCTTGTCTTCTATTTAAATCAGTGTAACTTAAGCACATACTTAAATTTTAGCACTTACTTTCCCAGAAATATATGTACACAACATGAGTTCTTGAGTAAGCTTTTATAAGAGATAGTTTCAAGAAAAGAAAATATCTCAAGTACCTGGAAAATAAAAAGTTATGGAATATATGAAAACACGCAATAAACTAAAAAACATTCTTCTTTACATACGTCAATTAGTTTCCCAGTAGAGGGAAACTGTAGACAGATGCACATACCAGGTAATTACATTTGCCAACAGTCTCATAGCACTTGGATGTGAAATTTACATATATATTATTGTTTCCAGAATCTGATAAGAATGAATGCTCAAATTATCAGAGCTATAAAATACTTTAGCCACCTAGCTGCATTCCATCTCCCAGCTAGAAACACTGAGAGATGATGGAGAAAACTTGTTTCTTCCAAAAGGGTATGTATGGTTGTGATGATATCACCTTGAAAACTTAGATGATACTGATAAATGGTCTTCCCTCTAAACTGCTATCAGTGTTAATCTCCCATTTCCAGATTAACCCAGTTCTTTGTAGACACAGTTGATTGTAATTTTCACTTTCATTAATTTTCCAATGCAACACCTAACTGAAAGCAATAAAGAAAGCAAAGAAAGAGTAAACAAGAAATGCACAGCTCTCCTAGCCAGCTTCAACTAAAACAATACAGATTTAACTGTGTATATATTAAATTTCTTTTTTGGTCATTTCATTAAGATCAACAAGAGAGTGTTCACCTGAAGAACATTGATGCTGACATGTTACTCAGTACAGAGAAAGAAAATGTCATGAATTTTTTGGGGGGTTAGATTCTATACTTCTATGTATTTAAGAAAATATAAAACTAACAGTAATAATCTAGCATTAGACCTACACATGCTATTCATTGTGGTTTTAAGTGTTAACATAAAACATTACAGAATATTTAAACATCCAAGATATTCTAATATCTTTAATCTGCCCAGTGATGTCCTACACACTTGTGAAATAAATTCTGACTGTTAAGTATTCAGTATTAGAGGGTATTTAGGTTTCAAGTCTCATCATTCCCTCTGACATTATTATACCACTTTGAGATATTTCTCCCCCCAGTTTCTATGCTTAAGGGAGCTTTAAGTTGCAGGGGGTACTAGCTGTTCACTTAATCATCACGGTAGCAGTATTTGGTTATATCTTACATGTGATCCTCCTGCATATGATTATTTTCTTTATTCATATCTCACTGACCAATCAAAAGCTTAACTGAAAAAAAGGATAACTGTGCAGTGGGCTTTGAACAAAAAGTCTCACTGAGACCTGAATTACGAGGTGAACTGTGATTTCATAAAGGCCACTGCAGTGGCAGAAATAAGCCTCCAAATCCATCAAGGCACAGAAAGCATCAAATATTAGTGGAGAATGGCAGCTGAAGTGCCCATATTTAATAGCAAGGATGAAAATTATCTGGACAAGTGTAAGCCTAATATTCTGACCTCTTCAGTTTGCAAGAGCTTTGAAGGCTTTGAAGAAAAAAGATAAATTATAGACAGGGAAGTAAATAGAACATAAGATAAAATGTAGCAGTGTTACCAAGGGTAGCTTGTACCAGACTAACTTGACAGATTTTTTGATAACTGAATTTCCAGACGAAGAAATGAAGTAGATATAATTTGTCTGGATTTAGATAAAGCATTTTCTACTCAGCAGAGGTATGCCCACACAGGCACATGAAGAAAATCTGAATCTTCATAGAAAAGTAAAATGGCTTTTCTCTCTATACACAGTGTTATATCAAATATTAGTGGGGTTTTGGCCCTGTTATGTTATCTAATCTTTTGCATAGACTATAATAACTAATACTATTTTGAGAATCATCCAATATGCCATACAATTTTGACTCAGTCTGCACTCCCTTGACAGTGTTCTGAAACAGTAAGAAATTATTAATACCAGCTCAGACTGAAAAAAAAATTATAGTATTCCTGTGATAGCTTGCTAGGAATGAATTCAAGTCAGGTCAGGATTTGCCTAGTGATAGGTAAAGTATCTACATAGCACCCAGTCTTCCTTGAAAAATCAAACTGATTTCTAACCCCCTTTTCAAATATCCTCTTTTGAAGGGTAGCAGGAGCTATCTAAGAGTCATATAGACCTACAATCCTGATTTTCATCCAAGAAATAATTCAAGAAATAATGCACTCTCTTTGGCATGTACTATGCCAGCCTTGCCATGGTATTTTAATATGACCAAGAGCTCATTCAATAGCCAGTCATAACCAGCACTTCTTAAAAGTCTATACCCAGCTTCCTGCTGCATGGTATGTAGCTTGAAATTTGTAGGTAGAGTACAACAGGAGAATAAACAACAAAACAAATCAATAAATAGTGTGTTGATCCTCTAGTGCCCTGGATCAGAGACTCTTATAAGGGGCATTTATGCTGGCATTTCAGTTTGGGGCTGGTCTTCACTTTTCAAACAAATGTTCATGTTGTCTCCATTTATTATGATCTGGATCACATCAGGGAATTATTCTGGAATGATTCACAGCAAATTAATCCCTTTTAGATGAAAATAAAGCAAAAGATAAGTCCAAGAGTGCATCTAACGCACTCCAACAGTTTAGGGATGCTAGGGACAAGGGCTAGTCAAAAACAACCTTCTTCTCCACTAAATTAATATAATGTGGACATCATGCCCTCAGCAACAGCAGTTTGAGTCTACAAAATCACTTCTG